AATTCGGTGATACGTCAGTTTGAAGTACTTGGACGGAAGTCGTGTGACATCATCCACATGGCACCATGGAATGCTTGGAATGCATGCCTTTTTGTCTTGTTTGCATTGGATACATTATCCTGTTTTCTTTTTCTACCTGGATCCAAGATTCAGGATATCCATAAAAGTTAAAGAACCATAAGTTATTCAATCTTATTGTTCCTCCGCGCCTGCGGAAGCCAATACCGCTGGATAAGAACGATAAGAACGATAACTCCGAATCAAACCCGAGGAGGATGAGATCAGCAAGAAGGTTCAAAAGAGCAAGGAAAGACATTAATCATGAAATTTTTGATCGAGAAATCTATCGGTTGATATTACTAGAGCGTAGGTACCGTGCAAAACTCAGGTCTTCGTCGTTCGGACCACCTTGAGACTCTGCAAGAGCTTCTTTGTATCGCTGGGACAGCCCCGCCTCGTCACCAGCTAGAGGAACACCTTCCTCGTCATCGTCGGTATCATCGTTCTCCGAAAACTCCAGATCCCCCTTGCTTGCTGCAGCAGCGGCTGCCTCTTCCTCCTCCTCTGCTTCGCTGACGGTCTCGGCTTCGTTCGCGACACGCGGCTTCCGCGAAGGTCCAGAGACACTCATATCCTTCATCAGCTTGCCCAGCTCCAGCTCGCGCTGAGCTGCCTGAATTTCCTCGCGCTCCTTCTTCTTGCGTTCCAGTTCTGGCTTGTAGTCCCGTTCAAACTCCTGGCGCTTCTCTTCCACAGCTTGGAAGAATTCGTCAATGCCGTCGCCTGTCATGGAGCTTACGCCCACGACACTCAGATGGCGATAGAACTCTTCCAGCATTAGACTCATACTATTGAGAAGCGAGCCCATGTATCCGCTGCCTGCCCCGAAGCCCGCGGCGCTGCCCTCCCCTCCGAAAGCACCAGACTCCTCCTCCTCTCGCAATGCTTGCTGGAATGCATCGAAGTCGGCCATCCATTCTTTCGCGAACTCTGCATCCTGAACGTCTGTCTTGTTGAACACAAGGATCATTGGCAGTTTTGTTTTGTACAGGATACTGCAGGCGTAAAGCATATTGCTCATAAAGGTACTTGTGGAAGTCGTACGCGGGGTATCAATGACATAAGCGATGACGGTAGGAAACGAAGAGGCTAGTGTCTCGAGTAAGATGCTCCCAGATGCACTCCAAACGAAGACTTCGATTTGTCCGGGCGTGTCGACCAAAATATGCTCGATGGGCTTGGCTGATGGATTTTCGGGATTGGGTGCGGTACGCTTTTCCAGTAATGATATAATCTGATCAACCTTTGTCGCGAACAGATTCAATGATGTCAAGATACCGCCGTTAGGCCCGAGATTGTACTGCTTCATAACTTCTTTGTAGTTGATCGAGTCACGGATGTCGATATTGCTCTCAAAGGGGACCGAGTATACAGCGGGGTCGAGGTTGAGCACGTAGGGGATTTTTTTCTTCGAATGGAGGTACGAGTTGATTCTCTGCATGAAGGTCGTCTTTCCCGAGCCTAAAGTGAAGTAGCATCAGCAATTATCGCTCATTCCTAGAAGGCCTTCGAGCTCGAACACCCTGTTGAATGATATACCTGCCATGCCGACGCAGACCACCGACACGGGAGTCGTCGCCATGATGAAGAGTGCTTAAAATATGATCGAGTCCTGAGTACTGTCTTAAGATCTCAATAGTAAAGAATATTTCTCTTCAAATTAAGAAAATAACTAGCTTGATGGAGAAGGAACGTGTAAGTGTATAATGTGGTTCGAAGCAGAAATTCTTTTGTCGCGGGGATTCGAGGAGATCTGCCTGCGGGTGGAGCCCATAGTCTGGGCCGCCCAGACGTCATTCTAGTGTTTTTCGTGCTGCGGCCGCTCCCTTTCCACACGAAAGCTCTGGGCAATCGTCGTGACAGATATCAAACATGGCTTTAGACGATTTTGAGAAGTCTCTGGCGGAAGACCAAGAGCGACGACGCGAACGAAGCGACAGAGAGAAACATCGACACAGAGACCGAGACCGAGATCGCAGCAAGGAACGCTCAAGACATCATCGTCATCATCACCATCATCGGCGCCATTCGTCGAGATCGAGAGAACGAGAGTCAGATCGCCCTCGTGAGTCGCGTGATAGTGAGGAAAATGGACATCGACACAAGCGATCTCGCCATTCCACCGATCACGGCGATGATCGAGACCATTCCCATAAGCGACGACACAGGAGGGAGAGTAAAGACAATGAATCAGAATCTACAGCTCCGGTGCAGGAGATAGTTCAGCAGGAGCCTAGTCAGTTGAGGCGGGATGCCTGGATGGAAGCGCCATCCGCCCTCGACGTCGATTATGTTCACCGACGTGACACTACACGGTTGGAGGAAGAACCGAAAGCCAAGATGCTCCAAGCGGACTTTGAGCTGAAGATACACGACCGAGAATTGAACCAGCATCTCCGTGATCTGAAAAACGAGAAAGAACTGGCTGAAGTAGAGGAAAAGCCAGCACAGCATGAGGTGGATTACACGTTCGGGGATGCTGGCTCCCAGTGGAGAATGACAAAGCTTCGAGGCGTATACCGGGAGGCAGAGGAGAGTGGAAAACCTGTGGAGGAAGTCGCAATTGAGCGCTTCGGGGATCTGCGCTCGTTTGATGATGCGCGTGAGGAAGAGGCGGAGGTGGACCGCCGCGCACGGTATGGCGAGGGTTACGTGAGCAAAGAAAAGCCAACAGGAGACCTCTTCCAGGAGAGAAAGCTTGAACAAGGGGTTCATAGGGAGCCTCTTGAACACGTTCGAGATCCTGAACAGGAGCTTGCAGCTCGTGGTCAAGGTCAGAAGATCGACACGGTGCCTCCTTCCGGCGCCACCCAGCACCTTGATCTGACAGCTCTCAACCGACTCAAAGCGCAGATGATGAAGGCAAAGCTTAAGGGATCGGCTGAAGCAGTAGAGCTTGAGGAGCGCTACAATGCGGCCGCAGCGGCGATGGCCAATCGCAAGGAGTCCGATGTTGTAGTGCTCGGAGTCATGGAGAACCGAATGCTTGCAGGACAAAGAAACGAAGCCAAGCCCGTCGAAACTAGGAGGGGCCGGGAGCGAGGACAGCTGGAGGAAAATGAGGATATGACTATTGAAGACATGGTCCGAGAAGAGCGGCGGACGCGGGATCAATTTGGTGGAGATGGGAGACGACTGGCGGAAAGGATCGCCAGAGACTCGAAATTCGAGGTCCGTTCATCCCTGACACATGCAGCTATGACTTGTTACTGATTACATCTGTTTGAATTAGAATGATTTGGAATACATGGACGATAATGCCGCCAAACTCGCCAAGAGGGTGCACCGGTCTGAGATCAACCTCAAGAATGCTACCATCAGCGAATTTCAGAAGATGAATCGGATCTTGGACAATTGCCCGCTCTGTCATCATGAAGATACCAACACGCCCCCAATCGCTCCTGTGGTGTCTTTGGCGACCCGAACCTATCTGACTCTCCCAACCGAACCTGAGCTTAGCGAGGGATGCGCTACCATAGTTCCTATCCAGCATCGCACCAATCTGATGGAATGTGATGACGATGAGTGGGAAGAGATCCGGAATTTCATGAAGAGTCTAACCCGGATGTACCACGATCAAGGCCGCGATGTCATTTTCTACGAGAACGCAGCTCAGCCACAGCGGAAGAGACATGCAGCCATGGAAGCCGTTCCACTGCCGTACAGTCTCGGAGAAACATCGCCCGCCTTCTTCAGGGAAGCGATTCTCGCAGCAGACTCCGAATGGACGCAGCACCGAAAGCTGATCGACACCCTTGCCAAGGCGAAGCAGGGACTGGGTCGGAATGCGTTCCGTCGCACCCTGGTCAAAGAGATGCCCTATTTCCATGTTTGGTTCGAGTTGGACGGAGGACTGGGCCACGTGGTGGAGGACGAGCACCGCTGGCCACGCGGCGATCTGTTTGCCCGCGAGGTTATTGGAGGCATGCTCGATCTAGGCCCAGAGGTGATTAAACGACAGGGCCGTTGGAACCGAGGAGGCGATCGCAGAGTGGACGGGTTTAAGAAGAGATGGCGGAAGTTCGATTGGACCCGAGTGCTTGTGGAGGGATAGGTCGAGAGAGTCTTCAATTAGATGTTATCCGAGCCAAAGCAGCTGATATTATGAATATACATGATATGACTGTCAACCAAATTCCAAAGGAGATCAAACGATGGGGAAGACAGTGGTGGCCTCATCCCCCCTTACCAGGTTTGTGATAATGCGACAAGGCAGTGCATGCTCGAACTTTCAGGAGCATCAACTTCCCTGGAAAAATATTGACTGCCAAATCGCAGCTGGCCTCACCAGTTCGAGGCCATTTCCATGTCCAGCTTGATGTCCTTTTGCCTCGCAATCAAATCCGATGCTCGTACGGATCTCCCCGCATAACCCCCACGCCGCGTTCACATATGGCGGGCAAGTCTGTGGTAGCTTTTCTCACTCGGAAAAGCTCCGGGCTTACCAGAACGGATCCCCACCAACATCGGTAATATCGCCTCATCTAGAAATTTTTTGAGTGATTGTCAATCCCTGAAGATCTTGACTGGTCAGTTGGGACTGGGGACTCCGTAGATAGATAGATAGTGCGGGGGAGAAATACTGAGAAGGCGCTGCGACGATAACAACAGGTGGGGCACTGCAATCTCTCACGGCCGAATGTAGGCAATATACTCTCTGCTCCTTGGACTTTTTCTTTACCTCTTCTCATCTCTGACGATCGTGTGGATATTCTTCTCGTAGGCTCTGCTCTGTGTGCTATCAATTGTGCTCATAGACATCGACCCACCTGGCGACCTGATATACTCTCGGACATAGCTTGTCCGCCAACAGTTTCGCTCGGCATAATTCCAGGTGCGACGCTTTTCGCTCATAAGTGAGTCAAACTCGTGCTTATCTATCTTCCATTCTCCTTTAGAAAGGTTCCTAGATTGACTTGAAGTCACACAGGAACCTCACAATGGGTTCCACCGGTACCAAACCCAAGGTCCTCCTCCTTGGATCCATCGTCCAGTACGCACTAGCCTCTCTCCCTGTCTCTATGAATCACTCTTCTGACCCAGCGTCTTTCCATCCAGCGCACACAAGACATGGCAATCGCTATCCGAGATCGCAGAACTGGTCACTCCCACCGCCACAAACCGCGCAGAGTTTCTACAGGAATGCCGCTCCGGCAAGCTGGACGGCGTCGTCGCCGCATACAGAACCTTCGACTCCGTCACCATCACCGGCTTCATCGATGAGGAACTCGTCAACGCACTGCCCAGCTCAGTCACTTTCCTAGCGCACTGCGGTAAGCTCTCCCCGCATTCCTCTAAAAAAGTAACCCAGCATCTGACCGCCATCCAGGCGCGGGATACGACCAAGTCGACGTCCACGCCTGCAGCGCCCGCAATCCCCCCCTGCGCGTCTCCAACGTCCCCACAGCTGTGGACGACGCCACAGCCGATGTGAACATGTTCCTGATCATCGGGGCCCTGCGCAACTTCAACGCGGGCATGCAGGCCCTCCGCGAAGGGAAATGGCGCGGCCAACCCCTCCCCGCACTCGGCCATGACCCCGAGGGCAAGGTCCTCGGCATTCTGGGCATGGGGGGAATCGGGCGCAACCTCAAGAAGAAGGCTGAGGCGTTCGGCATGCGGGTCATCTACCACAATCGCCGACGGTTGAGCGAGGAGCTGGCCGCCGGAGCGGAGTATGTGACGTTTGATGAGCTGCTGGCGAAGAGCGACGTGATCAGCCTGAACCTGCCCCTGAATGTAAGTTTCCTATCCTGCCTTTGGCACTTCTGCGGTCATCCTAACCATTAGAGAAGAAACACACCCGCCACATCATCAGCAAAGCCGAGTTCGAGAAGATGAAGGATGGCGTCGTCATTGTCAACACGGCGCGAGGGGCAGTCATGGACGAAGAGGCCCTCGTCCAGGCCCTCGATAGCGGCAAGGTCTACTCTGCCGGCTTGGATGTCTTCGAGGAGGAGCCCAAGGTGCACCCGGGCCTTATCCGGAACCCCAATGTTCTTCTTGTTCCGCACATGGGCACATGGACCGTCGAGGTGAGACACAGTCTATAGCACTGAAGTCAACATGGCAGACATATACTAATCCGATTGATTTTTGACAGACTCAAACGGCCATGGAAGAGTGGGCTATCGAAAATGTGCGGCTTGCAATTGAAACAGGGAAGCTGAAGAGTCCTGTTCCGGAGCAAGCCGACCTTTGAACGAGAATATCACGAGAGTTTTGCACTATGCCAACCATAATTTTGCGAAATGTACTTATTTCTCATTATTGATATGTACACGATTTTGATGATAGAGTAGATATTGGATACACTTGTCACTGTGTGTTAAAATGCACACATCAAATCGATCGCTGTAATTCTTCGATCAACGGACGTGTATCCCCCGAGGTTCTTCTCGTTCATATGCAGGACACCCCGAAGCGAAGCATGCCAGAGCCAAACCCTCAACCTAGTCTTGATTCGAAATGATAAGCAGCCAGAACGCCGTGATGCTGCCATTCCTAGCTTCAGAGAGAATTGAGAACCGAGAAAAACTCCTATGCCATGAAAGCTTTCGCTGAGCCGATTGGACAAGGTGCGTGAAAAATCGAAGAGGAATGTAGGTCCGTACATGTAGGGAAATAAAAGGAAAGAAAGAGAAAGCGAAATCAATGGCCAGATATCACCAACCGTAAGGAGATGTCGCCAATGCCGCAACGCCAGCAAGGTGAATGCAGAGTCGACTACTCCCGGGAAACGTACCAGGACCGCACGACCATGCCGGCGATGCGTTTGACAACCTGTGTGGTGCCCTTGCCGCTGGCTTCTTGCTCGAGGAATTTCTGCGCTACATATAGCTTGGCTCCCGCATCCTTTTCGTTCGTGGTGACATGCTGAGGGAGGCTGTGGGGAAAGTCTGCCCAGCGCTGTCCAACGTGGCGGGCAATGGCAATGGAATAAATCACATCGCGGTTCTCATAGGTGTCCAACAGCGTTCTGCAACGAGCCAGAGTATCATCGATTTCTTTGGCAGAGCTGGCTTCGTTGTCGTGGAGTGTCAAGAAGTGACCAATCGAACTCCAAAAATCCAATGCTCTTCGCATCAGTTGATCAGGAAGAGTGGGTGGATCAGCTGCCGGCTCTGGAACGGGCCATTGCGCCAGCGGGTTTCTCTCCATATGCTCGCCTGTTATCAGAGCCTCAATCACATCCAGTCTGGACGCGGTAGCCAACAGCTCGAAATCCTTTCCATGGTTGCCGTTCGACACATTCATCACATGACGACACAATGTCATGGTACTCCAAACGACGGACGCTTCAAAGCTCTCCAGATGCGCGACAACGTTGGGATCGTTGAGGTTCCGATCGTTGAATGCATCAATAAGAGCAGAGTATTCGGCCATCAGCTGCGCATTCGCCAACAGGTGACCGAGCGCTTTCTCTGAAAACCAGCGAGTCTCAAAGAATCTATCAACGGCAGGAGCATATGTAGCGAGGAACACGGCCTTGATTTCTTCGAGACGGTTCGGGGGAAGGGATGTGATAGGATGAGGGGGCGGAGGAGGAATGCCTCTCAGCGCCAGTAGATCACTAATCTGAACTCGTTTCACTGCTTTTGTGTGAGTATGTACTACAATGGTATATCAAGGGATACATACCGCGCGAGAAGGACGTACCTTTGTAGCTGGAAGTTTCCGAAGGAGTGACCGCGGCATTTGTCGTCGCATTGAGGGTCGGCTGCAGTCCTCCCTGAGTGACATTCTGGGTGCTGGCCATATTAGCAGAGTTATTGCCCCCCAATGAAGGGTCAGTGGGAGAAGCGCCGTAGTCGTATTGTTGGTCGGTGGATGTAGATGGCGATTCTGAATGAAGAGAAGGAGCGAAAGGCTGGGATGCCGCAGGTACGTAACCCGGAGGCGCCGAGGGGTAGGAAGGCGTTGGATCCTGTGGATTGACGACGAGTGAAGGAGCAGGATTGGGGGCAGGTTGAATCGCAGAGGGAGTCGACGCCTGCGGTCTAAAGACAGGGTCGTAACCTAAACATTCACGCTTGCTCTTGACGCAATTTCTGCAAACAGGGTGTCCCTCGTCACACTAGAGAGCAACACCAATTCTCCGTCAGCCACTTCAAAACAATATCAAATAACCAAATAAGCGATTGAAAACACGGAAAAAAAATTGTTGCTGTTGGGGCGGAAGGAAAACAGTGGGCGACAGGAGAGCGGGGTTCTTTGCAGGTGGGCAGCACAAGCGAAGCGATAACTTTACTTGCCCGCCCGCGATCTCCGCACACGATGATCGCCCTCGCTTCGGAATGCATCCAAAACAACATGGCCTGGAGGTCCATGCCATTGAGTTTTCTCATGTTCACAATTACATACCTTGATTCTGCGCTTTCGGCACGTTAGACATCCGGTCTTCGTTCTCCGCTTAACTTCCTTCTTGTGCCTTCCACCAGACAGCATCTTGTTCGGGTCGCCAGGGAGCTGGTAGCGCATCTGCGCGTTCGAATTCATACCCATTTGCGATACACTGGTGGGATATCCTGTCATATATTGGCCTACAGAAGCCATTGGGGGCATGTTCGAGGGCATGGGTGACCCAATGGGAGCCTGAGGAATATGGGATGGCTGTGGCGGAGCGTTCATCTGCGATGATGCGGGTTGATGATTCTGGTACACATCATGATTCTGTTGCTGGTATTGCTGATGTGTTGGCTGAGAATGTTGCGGCTGCGGCTGCGCATACTGTTGCGACGACTGATGCTGCTGTTGCTGATAGTGCAAATCTTGTGGTTGCTGCGGTGGCGACGCCTGATGCTGCTGTTGAGCGGTTTGCGATTGATAAGTCCCATTCGAATATTGATAGGGTGGCGTTTGAGCGGAAGCGTGGCCTGACTGGTGGGATGTGGGATGCTCAGTCGCCCCGGATACTGTGCCAGTCGACTCTGAAGCAGCAGGTTCTGGGTTGGATGCTCGTGTACCTGAAAGCAAGAAATTTGCCTCTGCAGCAGGCAAAGTTGTGTCTAGCGGTGGAAGAGATGTATCGATTGGAGGCAAAGATGGCACGCTCGAGTCGAGTGGTGGCAGTGTAGAATCTAGGCTAGGTAAAGACGTATCTATTGCTGGCAGAGTCGTGTCAACGGCCGGCATGGACTTGTCAATTGGAGGAAGGGACGTGTCGAAGGCTGGTAGTGCTGGTTCTGGAGCAGAGTCGCTGGTCTCCGTAGGCTGTTCGGAAGCCGCTTGAGGAGCTTGTTCGGGCATTGGCTGAGGTGCGGTCTCAGAGGCACTCTCTGCAGTAGGCCTGGGTGTCTGATCCGGAACCGTCTCAGCAGCGGGCTGATCGGTCGATCCAACTGCTTGTTTGGGCGATTCCCCAGGCGCGTTCGCCGATTCTGCTGATTCCGCCATGGCTGTTGACAATAGGGTTCTGCGCGCAAAGGAGCCCTCTGAAGGCAAAAGCGTGCGAATTCGATGCAACAGGTGATATACGACGTCGCAACTTGGCAGACACGCCTATCCGCGGTTCTGTGACTTCGTACAGTGGCCTGAACGTTTGCTGCCGGCTTGCATCTATTCCTGCAGTCTTTCGGCCAATGCGGCGTTAGTATCAAGAACTCCGCAAATAAGCTAGAATACAAAGAATCGCGCGTTTAGAAATCACAGTAGTGCTCTTTTGACGGGGATGATTGGAACGGAAAATGAGGGTTTTGGCCGATCACTCTTGTTGGCGCATTCTCTGATTGCCATGAGCTGTCATCTCAAGAGGCCCGCTTGCGCAACGCAAAGCGCATTTGCGGCTAAATGACAGTAATATTTTCCACAATAGATCTGGACACTTGTGCAGTACTCGAGACTCGCCGAGTACGAGACCTCAAGGGTGACAAGGCATGAGATTGGAATGTTGCCGGGCGAGGCTGTCATGATCTTCTCCGCTCAGGCAAAGCGTAAAGCGAAGACGCCGCAAAACAAGTTCCAGAATACCGTAGCAACATCGCAACGAGTTTCAACAGGCAAATATTGCTTTTTGACAGGACGAGTACAAAACCCAATAGCTCATGAAGCTAAAGAAATAAAAGACATATCGCAAGCGAGTAGGATTGCGCCCGGCAAAGAAACAGAGAGGTCCCGTTCTGGGTCACTTACCAAGTACTACTACTGGTCCAGATAAGCGAAAAGAAGCGAGAGTAGCCAGCCGAGTCAATAATATGCCACCAGATCTCTCGATTTGATCATGGAGACCTCCGCATCAAGTGTGGGGAGAATGGTTTGCAATGAGGTCGTTGCGCGTCAAGAAGATCTTCTGGTGTGAGCTCCGGAACAACACTAGAAGAAGCCCCGGCCTTTGACTACAGGAGGGAAAGAAAAAAAAATGGAGGGAAAAAGGGACGGCAGTGGCGAGAATCACTCAACACCGCAGATACGGCAGAAGTATCTAATCTTCACTGATAAAATAGCTTCACACCTGCTATTAACTTCTGTGAATAACAGGTTTTTATCCAAAAATATCTCCAACTTTCACGTTGCTGGTTTCATCTTGCTTCTAATTTCTTCAATTCTAGCACCATGTCTTTATTCCTCTCATTTTAAGTAGGCATACTTAGCCACTTATTGTGACTTGATCATTTACATTAATACACTAGTAGCTGGTACTGACTGTCTAGTAGGACCGTGGGACTATCGCCTGAAAACCAAAGCTTGATCTGGCTCAGTATATTGCTCTTCTTGTCATAAGTCTGCTTTTCAATGAAATCTGTTTCGTATGCATGCTATCGTAGATTGCACGCCAAAGGGAGCTGTGAGATGTCACCAACGAGTTGCATAGGGTATGCAACTCTTTTGGTGAGCTGCATCTGATGTTTGCATGCGTGAGAACTGATCATTCTCCGTCCAGCATATGTGGCCCCAACGTCTCTCTGCCGATGTATAGCCAAATATTATCTGAGAACCCGCGTGGGTTCGAATCGGTACACTCGATCTGGATGTAGGCTAACACAAGGCCAGCAAAGGTCTTTCCTGAAGCAATCAAACCCTGAGCTGAATTTCTTCAGGGACGGACGATTTGAGGCCATATGCATCATGCCTGGTTCGCCGACACTGTGGTTTTAGCGAGATGAGTGCCACGATCGCTTCATTGGAACACTGGCATATTGGACCATGTGCGACCATAACGTATCGTTTGTAGATTTATTCGCATGGGAGATAATAAATATTCCG